CTGCTTCGAGGAGCTAAATAGTTTGGAGTTAAGGAAAAGTTAGCGCCATGGTTTGTAGGGCCATATAGAGTTTTGGAGCGTATGGGCGAAGTTGCCTACAAGTTGGAATTGCCCGAAGGTTTGTCAGGGGTTCACGATGTGTTTCATGTTTCCCAGTTGAAGAAATGCCATTCAGAGATGGCTGATATTCCTCTAAGAGATACAGTGCCCCTGGAAGCAATTCAGTTGGAGAGTGACCTGGCCTATGAGGAGAAACCCGTCAAGATTCTCGAGTTTGCCAACCGAGTTACCCGCAGCAAGGTTATCAAGTTTTGCAAAGTTCAGTGCAGCCACCATACCGAGGAGGAAGCCACCTGGGAATGAGAAGAAGACCTCTGAAAAGACCACCCACACCTTTTTGCTAGCCAACCTGAATCTCAAGGGCGAGATTCATCTTAAGGGGGGTAGGTTTGTAACATCCCAATTTTCAATTTGAATGTTATTCATTAGATCATCATATGCATCCATAATTTTTGCATTTTTTTGAATTTGTTTTATTTGGAATTTTGATCCTAGAAACCTTAAGCAACTCAAGGACCGGATGAGAGAGTTGCAGGTTCTCACAAAAATCCATCTTTGAATTTTCAAAATTGGCAAATTGGATCAAAGTGTTTTATTTGAAATTATTTTTCCAATTATTTCAAAATAAATAAAATAATGAGAGAAGATAATATGACTTCTTCAAAACAGCAAGAAAATATTGGGAATTTAATTTTGAATAAAAATATATTTTATTTGGATTTTATTTGCAAGTTTATTTATTAGTATTAGTACTAAAAATGTTTATTTTATTTTAGGCATTTAGGTCCAGAAAAATGATCACTTTAACCCATTTAATTAGGAGGGACTGTGATTTTTTCTAGAATTTTTGAAAATATTTTTATTAGGTTTTCCCTATTTTTCGTATTTTCGAAAAATGTTTTAAAAAACTTCGGACCGAACTGGGCCGAAGCCCAACTGGCCCAAGTCGCCGCCACCACCGACCCTGAGTCGGAGTCCGACCGGAGCACGCCACCATCGTCGTGCCCGTCTCGACCACGAGTCGCCTTGCCGCCGCCTTGCCCCCTCCTCCAAGCCACCCCGGAGCCGCCCCCTCCCGCCTATAAATACCGGACCCTCCCCCCCCGGCCCCTCCTCCCCTCGTTAGCTGCCCGTCGCCTCCCGCAGTCGTCGCCGATGCCGCCTGCCGCTGCCGCCAGTGTTGTCCTAGGATATCCTGGAGTACTCGTGTGATCATCCTATGGAATGCCACCCAGGCTCAAAGGGATCATAAGATTATTCATGCTAGAAACTTCTGTGTGCAGCCACAAGCCATTATGGGCTCTGGCATAGTTGAGTAAGTTGTGTGACCTCTTTCAGTGGTAGGCCAGCAGATGTAGGGGAAAGTAGGTGTAACTGTCTACCCAGAGTAAAGAGTTAATGCTTCAGAAAGATTATGTCTCGATCTTCCGATCTTGGAGGTGGTCGAGTCTTGTGGGGAAAAGTGCACAAATCTCTGCAGAGTGTATAAACTAATCATGGTTAGTCGGTTCCCCGGTTATGGACATCTTGAGTATCTGGTATATGAATTATTGATTGATATCATCACTTTACTTAATAAATTAGTTGGGTTATTAATATTGTTACATGGTAATTCTGGCTCTGAGTTGGGGGAACCTTCTCAATAATGGTTTAAACATGGTAGTTAAATAAAATCTATTCCTTTGTTGTAGGGAAAAATTAGCTTTATGCAAATGTTAAATTTAGAGTCTCCACCAGCCAAATATGCATGTAGTGATAGCTATTTCATCATTGCTCTATGGTGTGATCTTGCCAGCATATTCCATGTGCTGACCTACACGGCTGCAACGTCTCATGTTGTAGAATTTTCAGACGAAGAGTAAGATGCGATAGGTCATTGTCATGCACTCAGTTTTGCCATGGAGTTGGAGGACTCATTTACCTTCGAAGCTTCCGCAGTTATTTTATTAGATGGCCTTCAGCCATATTATTGTAATACATCACTCTTTATGAGGACCTCGACGTAATAAGTGTGTGATTGAACTCTGATATAATTCCTCGAGTACTGTGTGTGTCAGCATACCGATCCAGGGATGACACTTAACCACAGAGACTTCAATCCATTGGGATCGGATCGCTACAGCTATGTTAGTCGACATCCTTCGTTGGGCCATGAATCAGGCCGATTCCAGTGACGCTCAACAGAGGTCAAGGTGGGCCAAGTACAGAGAGTACAGGCGCCCTCATGACCATTGTGTCGCAGCGTACTTCACGACAAGGACTGTGATGGCGGTGGAGGAGGAACAAGAAGCGATGGCGATGGAGGTAGAAGAAGTTGCGGTTGCGATGGTAGTAAGGGCGCCGAAGCCAGGACAACGAAGCATACCGATCTTTTTTTGCATATATCATGGATTGAGATTGCTGACCGGGTTTGCCACCCGGTGTAACAAAGCATGACAATCGATCTAGACTCCGGCAAGGAAGAAGAGATGGTGGTGCGGCTCGAGGAGAAGAACAAGGGCAAGGGCACCCGCCGCTCCAACCGCCTCTAGGGTCGTCGAGGCTAAGATCTAGGACTACTGTGTAAGATTTATCCCCAATACCCATTACCCTTGTACTCCGATCAGTGACCTCAAATCTGTCGGTACTACGAACTCGTGATGATGTTATGATCACTCATATGGCTATTTACCCCGATTCCCCATTCCCATAATGCGGATCGAACCTAAACGCGAATGGAATGCGAATGAGTACGTGGGGAGGTGAAAAAAGTGCTTACTGCCATTGCCAAAGTGCAGGAGGTGATGATGCAGATGCCAATGAAGGGGCTGGCGGTCGCCTTGTTGTTCTTCGATGTGTTGAAAGTCGACGCCGCCGCCGTTAGTGAGAGTGGAGAGAGGGGAGAGGGGAGAGTGAGCAGTGAGGGGAATAACTGTTGGGACTTCGGGAAGCAACGCGGCTTCTCGAGTGTGGCTCCTCGCGTGCAGGCCTCGTCGCCCACGTGCATTGCACGTGCCTAGCTCTGGAGAAACTGTCGATTCCAGCGTTCCCAGCGAGACAGGCCAGAGGTGCTTTGAGTTTCGTGCTATGCAAGCCCAAGAATGAACGCAGGCAACCAAACGGGCCACAGTCTTCCTGCACGGGCCTGGTTGGCCTATATGCAAGCAACCAAACATGTCTGTAGTGCCCGGCGGAGAGCGGCATCAGACTCCCTAGCAAGATCGGTTGATCTGAGACAACGCGGCGAGCAGACTAGGGGGGCGACTTTTTTTCTTTTTGAGGAACCACGAGGGGGTGACTTTTTTTGAGCAACTTCTCGCCTGAAGCGACTGGTAAAGGGCCGACCCAATAGCGTTGTTGGTTCAATTTTTTTAGTTCGTTATATATACTATATCGTTCGTTCACTCGATTTTGTTTTTTTCATTTTCCTTTTTTTGATTTTTCTTTGTTACATTAACAAAACTAAAATACATATATATTTTTAAAAAATCCCTTAATTTTGAAAAAAAAATGTGTGTGCAATGTTAAAAACATGTTGGTGCAACTTATAGAAAATGTTGATAGAATTTGAAAACAATGCTTCAACACATATTCAAAAAACAATGTTCAAAAACATGTGTTTAATTTTTTTTAAACATATAGTGTAAAATAAATGTTTCAGATGTATACAAAAAATGTACCATGTGTATGGCACAAGTAGACATCAAAATATGTATTTGAAAAAATGCTAATCATTGTATTTGAAAATGTTAATCATATACTTCCTCTGTCCCAAAATTCTTGTCTTAAATTTGTCTAAATATGAATGTATCAAGTCACATTTTAGTATTAGATACATCCGTGTGTAGAAGATGAGAATTTTGGGCCGGAGGGAGTATTTTTTAAAAAGATTAAACATGTAAAAAATGTTCTTGATGTATACGGATCTATATTTATTATTTACGAAAAATGATCTAGATGTATAAGAAAAATATGCATGCAAACAAACCTAGTCATCGGGTTGTTTTCCCTGCTAGTTGGGCTTGATGTGTATACATGGGTTTGTATCATGTTTGGGCCTAAATACTACCTCCACCCCACAATATAAAACAGCTTGCAAAAATATTTTTGAAGAGATGAAATAGAACCGAAGGTCCTATCTTTTTGATCAGAGGTTGAATCGATCATCAGAAGACGAATTAGGCCAAATATTAAGATACATTTTGGAAAAATGAAACTTCCATTAAAAAGAAGCAAATGAAACATTTTCATAAAAATTCTCGATTGAGGCAGTATTACTTATGGACCTCACTAACATGGACACATTCACAGGGGCCTCCGCTGTCCCGGCATCGCTAATGAATCAAGTGGACTACTTTGAAGAGCAAGCTTCATGCATCAATGACGCCTCGGATTATTGTTGCGAGATTAGTTATAGCATGGGGGTACACTTGGCCATTGCTCTCTTGCTCTCAACTATGGGCTTTTTAAGACTTTTGCATTGGAACTCCTGCATATCAAGCATTGGAACTCCCTCTATAAACTAATTTAAGACCAATTTTGCAGTTCAAATTGAACTACAAAAACATCTTACATTAGTGTACAGAGATTGTATTTTTTCTTTTATACTACACTAGTAGCTAGTCATATTCTCATGTTTTCCCAACCTGGCATAGTTGACACAAGATTAATTGTGTGGCGCCAAAAGAAAATAAAAAATACAACACCAGGAAATGTTATTATTATTAGGCCATTATGTTTGCTGTGTGAAAAAAATCTAATGAAATTTTCCTAGTAGGTCAACATACAAACGATATCAGTTCATTAACAAATATTCATTCAAAGAAACAAAAACTAGCTCCCAGCTACATGGAAGTACACTACTCGGGTGACTTTCCATTGATCATCGATTCACTGTCAAGAATCTCCAACAAACAAGTTCCATAACTCAACTAGCTGCTAGGGCCAAAACCAGGTCCAGATCAGAGGTCAGCTTTCTTGACAAGCTTTGTATAGATAATGCGACCATCCCTTGCAGAATTGCTCTCAGCAAGAGCAATTTGAACCATGTCCTGCAGACAGTGAACAACATGCCAGCGTTAGATGCCGGTCAAAAACATCCAAAAGATGGTCATCAAAACAAGAACCGTTATTAGTGTTTTGCAGGATGTAAAACCCACACGACGTATGCATGCTGCAGCTCACCACCCCCAAAAGTGCAAGTATATCCAATTGACAAATACACCTTATTTTTTTCCATTGTGTACTCACTAATCGTTAATAGTTACCTATAACCAATCTAGGGTGTAGACGTATACTATCAAGCTAACCAGAAGTTAAAAGGTATCCATATTGAGGTGAGAACAGAACTGCTACTAAATCGTATATACAATTTTATTTCTTTAAAATTCCTAAGGATTCCAATACTGTGAATCAAAGGACCTAAGGATACAAATCCTCCAAAAATCCTATAGAATTCATTTGAATCAGAGGAGCATTTCAGCAAGAGGTGGTAAGTTAATTAGTGGGTGAAATTTCAAGACCAGATTGGAACAAATAAGTATCAAGTTCCAGAAGATATGGTAAAAAAGATAGTATGGAATTCAATGAACAGAGTCAAGTGACTGACCTTCACATCCCTGTTGGATAAAAATTTCCCCAAGTTGTGAAGGATGCACCTTAAATCATCCACCTGCATTTGTAAAAATTATAAGAATAATGTCTTCACGTATCCAAATGACGAATTGCTTCCAAAAGAACAACGGTATCGCTTATTACACTACCTTTATATAACCAACTCTGTTTTGGTCGAAGTACCTAAAAGCCTATAGAGGGAAAAGAACATCATATGTTAGCAATAACCTGGGATCCATGTAACAGACAGAGTTTTAACTTTTAATGCAACTCCTAATCTCTTATACGAGGCAACAGCAAAATGTACCTGCAACAGGTCCTTATCAACCACATCATGTTTCGCTGAATCTCCTTTTTGTGAACCAGATATCTTTCCCTCCTTACCAACAGATTTCTCTTCAACTTCTTTCAAATCTCCTTTCTCTGCTACAGACTGCTTGTCCTCTTCTGCTTTTTCCAACTTAAGATTCTCCGTTGTCCTCTTTCCATCATCTTCTGCAGTTACCTCTTCTGGCTTGGTTTCTCTTTCGTTTGAGTTATCCTCATTCTGCAGCAGAGGTTAATGAATAGACAAAGGTAAGCACAGTTTACCCATAACTAGTTTCACAGCACCTACAAGCACACATTCCTTCTATGTTTTCTCCGCTTTTTGTTCTCTTTATTCTTTGTTTGCTCGGCTGCTAGCATGTACTCATCCACGATGGTAAGCTAGTAGCTCTACCTTTATTCTTTGTTTAACTTGATTGAATTTTCTATCGTTGAAAAGGCAGTAGAGAGAAAACAAACAGGAAGTACTTTGATCTCACATCTTGAAAATATAAATTTACCCTTACTGCTGTATTTTTTGAATTATTTATATAAACTCAAGATATCCCCATCTTGATTGAATTTTCTATCGTTGAAAAGGCAGTAGAGAGAAAACAAACAGGAAGTACTTTGATCTCACATCTTGAAAATATAAATTTACCCTTACTGCTGTATTTTTTGAATTATTTATATAAACTCAAGATATCCCCATAAGGCTGTTTCTGAAAAATGCCATATCCATGTCGCGTGTCCCATCATCACAGTGCCCACATCCCCAAATCAGTGATTCCTACGTACTTCCTCCGTCCGGGTTTATTAGGCTGGTCATAGTGGGAAGTAACTTATACTAGTGTCATGCATCTGACACTAGTCTAAGTTACCACCTTCATAGTGCAAAGTAACATACTAGTGGTGTCATATGTGGCTTTAATGGCTTGTAGACTCATCTTGTCTTGAGAAGCGCTATGTTACCACTTCTCATTAACTACGTGCCACATAAGCAAAAATTTCTCGAAGTGCGCTACGTTACTACCTAAGTTACTCCTACTATGACTAGCCTTAGGCCCGCTAGCCAAAACTCAGGTACCAAAGCAAGACATTAACGCTAATTATGTGTGATTTTGAAGCATGGGAAAGGCCAATCAGATTGGCTTGTAATTATAGCACGCAGCCGGTTGCCAGCTTTACTTTTGCATGCAGCCAATACATGCCCACGTCCAGCGCTATGGGCAGTTAATGGCATGCAGCAGGTTGCGCACGCCGTTTTGCATGCAGCTAATTAATCAGAAGTTTTAATGAATCTAGCGCGCATGCAGTGGAGAAGATCGAGGGAAATTAATTCAAGGCCTTATAAATCCAGACGCGGATGGCTGGCTCACGGGCCCAATAAACCCGGACGGAGGGAGTACTACTTTAACTAGAGAAATCTCAATATCTATATTTTTATATTTATAGTGGTGTGAGCTCTCAAATATAATCCAGACGTAAAACTAGAGCAATTAGCCTTGACAAGTGAGCTAACACTACACTCCATAACAAGCTTGATGAGTTGGTGCTTGCAGCTTCCCACTACCCTTCAATTCTGTTGGAACTAATTGGAAATGTTCCACATGTAGAAATACATTATTTTACATGAGGGAACATGGGCAAATCAACAAGCATCCATGCTGTTATGAAGGAAAAGACCATCCGGTAATACAAAGAGTAGTTTCTTAAGCAACACGAGCTAATATACGGTCACTTCGCAGTTGTGTATATTATGTGTGGTGCAAAAGGGTACGGAGGATATATGTGTGCATTACCTGTGCTTCTGCCGGCTCTTCAGCAGTGGCATCATCCATGTCCTCGTCGCCTTCATATTCTACTTCATCGGGATCTTCTTCATATTCAGGATCTTCTTCCTCCATTTTCTCATCAGCTTTAGGTTCATCACAGGCAGCTGCTGACTGATCTGCGTCAATCTTTTCCTCACCCTCTTTCATCATTTCATCCTGGGCAGCATGATCTGTACTCATCTTCTCGTCATCCTCTTTTACCAGTTGCTCATGGGAAGCTGATGAATTATCACCAATTATCTTTTCTCCACCCTCTTTTATTGTTTCATCATTTTTACCTGGGTTACCTGAGGTACTTCCAGTTACATTTTCATCAGTTGTCTTTAGTCGCTTCTCCAAGGATATTGTGTCTTCCTTCTTTAGATCTTCCTCTCTTTGGCGCTTACGTTGATTCCTCCTCACAACATACTGCCTGTAAAGTTTCTGTGCGGACAAAACAAGCTACATGAGGAAAACTGAAAATAGATCACTACCAAAACCTACTGGATGCGGCTCTGCTTCCCTCATGAAGCAACCAATTCTTTGCTTTAGTACACTCCACAAAAATTACCATGAACTACCAGGTTACAAACTTCCAAGTCCCAATTTGGACCATTACAGGGAGCAATTATCCTAAAGTTTGGTAACAACATTGGTAGAATGGAGTCGGATTCTCAGTTATGCCCAAGCTACCCGACATTTTTCTTGCAAGCATACTCGGCTACCAAACTTCAAAGTAGATGGAAGTAGACTTGAATGAAAAACTAACTGCTGATCGTGTGTCAAAGCTTACAAAGCATAGACAAAGCACAAGGAAGTTACCTCAAGAAAAGACAGGATCACACAACCCATTCTGTATTGAAGCATTTCGCTGAAAGACTCAGCAAACAAAGAAAGCTGAAAAGTAACAGAAGAACATATCAATCATAAATGTCAAGCCCCATGAGCATCACCACAAAAGCAATTTAGTAACTTCTTTGTGTTATATGCTCATAAATTTGGTAGCAGCCAAAAATACAGGACAGAGATATTTGCTGAAGAAAAAAATGCAGAGGTAGGGATCTCTTGTAATGACAATTAGCAAATTATTACAGAAGCCAGAGCAGAAAATGGACCTCAAATACAGACTCCTCTGTATCATTGGCGGTGTAGTCCAGGAGGCCATCCAATGAAAGGGATGTTGACCGGAGCTGCAAATGAAAACCATTCAATAAGATCTCGTAGGCAATAAGACCATGCTTGAATTATAGTTTATAGTATTATATGAAATAAAAAAGATAACTATATAGCATGATGACCATACTTTATATTCTTTGCTCTTTTTGGCCTGGAGAATGAATCCTGGGTGTTTAGGAGGTTCATCAGACTTCTTCTTTTCTTTGGTGTCAATGGGCGACTTTTTCTTTGAGTCCATCTTCTGGTCTTTATCCTTTGTTTCGTTGTCATCCGTTTTCTTGACACTCTTCCCGTCTGTTTCATCAATTTTTGGATCTTTCTGTTCCACAACTTCCTGCTGGTTAACCTTATCTGTATTTGCCTTTTGATCATCAGTCATTATATCTCCCTTTATCTCCAGCTCCTGTTCTTTCTTCTGATTTGAGGTATCTTCAGCAGGAGTTTTCAATCCTTCTTCTTTCTTCTGGTTTGAAATATCCTCAGCTGGAGTTTTCAATCCTTCTTCTTTCTTCTGGTTTGAAATATCTTCAGCAGGAGTTTTCAATCCTTCTTCCAGCTTAGTCTGTGAATTCCCAGCATCAGTGACGCCTTCAACAATCTTCTCCGGCTGAACATCCACATCTTGTTTACTTGCCTCAGCAGGTGCAGCAAGGGCTGTTGGCTCAGTCGCTGAAGCAGGAACTTTTCTTTTAACAATCCTGCGAATGACCTTCTTCTTCCCAGTTTTCTTAGCCTCAGGCTGTTGAACGATGCCAGCTCCCGCCTTCTCTTTCCCAAGATCCTCACTTTTCTGTTCAATGTGCTTTTCGACGGTTTTGCTCGCAGTTTCTGCCACAGCATTCTTGTCAACCTGAGGTGATTTATCCACTGGAGCTTCAGCAGTTGGCTTTTTTCGAACAACTTTCACAACCTTTTTTATTATTTTCTTTTTCATGGGCTTTTTATCCTCAGTGACATGGTCAACAGAAGCATCACCAGAAGTGTTTTCTTCAACAACCCCCACCGTCTTCTCAACTTGCTCCCCAACATTGTCAGGATTCTTCCCACCATCACCAGCAAGATTGACATCTCCATCTTTGCCCTGCTCTTCCATATCAGCATCAATTTTCTCAATCTTGGCAGCACCATCACCCTCCTTCAGTTCCATTTCAGCATCAATTTTCTCAATCTTGGCAGCACCATCACCCTCCTTCATTTCCATATCAGCATCAATTTTCTCAATCTTAGCAGCACCATCACCCTCCTTCAATTGATCATTCGTACTTTTAGCATCGCTTGGCTCCTCTAAAACTGCTGACAAATAAACAAGGATTAATTATTTTATTCATTAGGCAAGGAAAAGGCAGTGAATGATAAGTGAGGGTCTTTCAAACCTTGTTTCTGTTCCTTTGGATCACCTGGGCTCTAAAATGCAACGGGAAGTAAGAACCATTAGTGCTGTTTCAGAAGAAAACAAAGTATGTTATAATAGTAACCACAAGCTTACCTTTTCCTTCTTCATAATCAGCTGCTCCCTTTCTATCTTTGATTTTCGGTATGCGATCCAGTTGTCCCTCCATATATCCATAGATGGTACGCATTCCGACAGGTTTGGCACAAACAGTACAGTAATTTCTTTGTGACTAAAAAGTCCATCATTGCCAACTCTGTTGTAATGGACCTGCAGTATAATGCATGTATTACATTATGCTGATGACTTCAGCAATAATAGCATGCCTTGAAAAGCGAATGACTTAATTACTGGAGTAAATGCTCTCATATTATCCTATGGAAGAGCCAATAAACCACATACGAATAGGGCTTGATATCGCAGTTGCAACTGACCAGTTACCAGTCATAATGTCTAATATTCTGATGGTTATTAGCACAAATATCCTTTGGAATATTGTCATTTCGGATAGGGGAGATTTTAAAGCACAAATAGCAGAGAAATGTCAAACAATTTAACAAGAAGCAAACTGATTGGTAAAGAGTCATAATGCAAATGTGCATTATATAGTTTTGGAATGATATATGTGTTTGCGCTTCTACAATTCAGAAGAGAATCCAGTTATGACCAGTTAAATAAAAGGTATATCATGGAAGGGTGATGTTTTCCATCTAAAGAAGACTATATTCAAGAAATACAGTTCCAAGAAGGTGCTGAGATAGATTTAGAAGTACCTCGAGGAAACGATTCCAACTGGTACAATTAGATAGATCGACTTGAACCAGTTCCTTCACATATCTGTCCAAGAAGAAGGGTTAGCAGAGTTGCAAGTCATCCATGGTACATTTACTTGATGAAGGCATACCTGATAGCCGTTCGAATCAAGCAAGAACAGTCAACCACTGGATCTCCACCATCAAGTGCTGCATTCCAAGGGCCTCCGATAGCAAGAAGTGAACGATCCTTCTTGAATACAGCAAATTTTAAGATATTGTTCAAGTGCACCACTCGTTCCTCAGTACTTCTCATCGACGTTATGTCAGCAAAGGCGCCATTGCTCATACCGCTCATCAGAAGTACCTGCACATGGGCATATATGTAAGCACAGAAGGAAATTACTTCAAGATGGTTGGAGTTACCTTGTAAGGTAAAGACAGCATAACAAGTGCCTCTATATCCGGCCAACGTGAGATAGATTTTTTCTTTTTTGGATTACTTAAAAGCACTAAAAGCAAAACCCAAGCCAACGTCGATCCCAAGACAGACTCTTGTGATTTTTTACAATATCAGATGAGTAAATGCAATGGAAACATTCCTCCAGTTTCAACAAAAAAAGATTAGGCAAAGGCTAGGGGGTAAGCACGCGATGGGACTACCATGGAGACATATAAATACAAACACCGCAATAACTAGATTACATATGCAACATAAAATTGTACTAGCACAACTTTATTTTCTGAGACGTCTCTATGTCACAATGTGATGGAATGATGAAGACATATTTTTCATGCAAGGGAAATTCATCCTACCAAAAGCTAGAATTGGACTAGCATTTCTCAAAAGATTGCTCGAGGGGCAAGCATGATATCCAGGGGAAGACCATAACACCCTTGGATAGTGCAGGTCAGCAGCACAGGTTGCACTTCATGTACTTGCAAGCAATAATTTTCTACAAAGTGAGTATTAATGCCCACGACAGTTATATACCACATGCTTTCTACAAGTATTGCTATAGCATGTACAATGACATAATTCATTCAAATAAACACTATCTCTACTTATTGTGGGAGCTACTACTCAAATCAACTACAACTTAATATAGTTCATACTTCAAAATGAACACAACATTATAAACAAAAAGACCTTTGCATTCCAAATCGTTTCAGGGGTCTTTGTGCTTGATGTATTCTCAGAAGAGACCAGTGCGCTTTCATCAGCTTTATCGTCATCTTCACAGATGGCATGCTCCAGGCTATTTTACAGCAACACAGTATAAAACATGTCATTAATAGGAAGCTCAAGAACATTTAGCAAGAAAACCAATAGAACAGTACATGTATCTACTTATGTAGTCCCAATAGAAAAGCATACCTCACTGGTGTATGCAGCGAAAGATTTAGGCTTTCTTTAGCCCAGTTCAAGACAATCTACAGAACAAGTAAATCACAAATAAGCAAGGCAAAAAAAAATCTACAGTACCATGATTTCACGTTAAGTTTTGATCATCAACATTCATGAATAGAATGTCAAACCTTAGAAAAATCTGGAATAACTGATAGCCTAGGATATCTTTTTGTCAAAGATAAACAGTCTCTCTCCTCATCCACCAAACGAAATGGCAAAACCTGCACCAGACAGCCCAATTAGCAATGAGTTCCTATTGGGCATCAGACTAAAACTGCTGCATAACTGAACATACTAAATATGATGTTTGCATATAAAGGAGGCGGAGAGAAATGGAGGATGGAAAACATCTCCGTGATTGCTCAATCATATCCACTCTGGTGCAATCTATGCTTAAGGTGTGAATAGTCTTACAAGTTATCCAAATTGGAAGAATAAAGAATGAGAGATCTCCAGACAAGTGGCAACAGAAAAGAGAAAGTGGCTAGGAAGGCAAAAACAAGGATTGGTGTAGATAGATGGGTAAGTGGAACCAGAATCTCTCAGATATTAGTTCTGAGAGTGGACGTATAAGTTTGCAAAGATCTCAGGGTTTACAAGGACAGCAGTGAAGGAAACTGGAGACCAGAGTGCATCAAGGAGGCACGTAAAGAATTAATACTATCAATTGATTTTTGCAAGAACACTGTGACAAACACAACTGTTCGTTTACCTTGCACAAATATTCTCGCTTTATTTCTTTAATAGGTGAACGATGCCTTCAGGACAACAAACGAAAGTGTTAGTTTAAAAGGCTGCACCAAAGACGAAGCGCATCCACAAAGCTATAGAGAACATGGAGACACCTATGCACAGCATCACGTCGAGGTGAAAGGCGCCGCAAAGGCTTCTCAGACCTAACAGAAGAAGAACGTCGTCGATCACCAGGGGTTCTAGGTGGAGTGCGCTCACGCCTTGAATCAGCTACATGCTTCTTGTTCCGCTCCTTCTCCTTCTCGCGGCGCTCGCGAAGACGTTCTCTTTCATGTTCCCTTTGACGCTCCCGCTCCCTTTCTCTTTCACGTTCCCTTATTCTTTCACGGTCCCTTTCCCTTTCACGTTCTCTTTCTCTTTCACGGTCTCTTTCTCTTTCACGGTCTCGAAGGTCCCGCAACTCCCGTTCCCGTTCCCGTTCAAGCTCCTTTTCCCTTTCAAGTAGCAGATCCCTTCGACGTTCCTCATCTCTTAGATCCAGCTCACGACGATAACCAATCCGGTCAATTGCACGTTCATCGACCATGGAGATGCCTTGACGTGCACGGGGTAAGATGTTGTCACGGTAATCAGAATCTGAAGATGGATGGAGAAGGCCTTTCCCCGAGGCATAGTCACGACCAGGGGGCAGACTCATCCCATAACCACTGCTTGATGATCCTTGCCCATAGCCAAGACTATCAATGTTTGTCCTAGGGGCGCCACCCAACAATGATGATGTCTGTTGTCCTCCATATGGAACATTCCCAAGAATGGACAAGTTGCGATGGTCAGCTTCAGCCCTTCCATATGTACCAATTTCCTGAGATTCTTGATGGATTGGAGCGGACCTTCCTGCAAAGTAATCGGCTTGTCTGCCAGAAATGCATACTTTACTCAGTGCATGTGCTATGTTTTGTTGCAGTGATAAAACACACGAAGGATCGCAAATTTTAGCTTTCCAAAAGTGCCGGTGGCATACATTAAAATAACTAACAAATTTTAGTCCTAAGAAGAGATGTTTGGAACATGCAGATAGTCATTCATTTGATGCACTTTTTAAAGTGAGAATGATTATGGTCTACCATGTGGACAAAAAACCTGAACAACATATATGACCTGGCTCTGGCTGTGAGCTAACGTACCTCATATCAGACACAGGCGCCAGCTGAGCTTTCAGAAGTGGCTGATGGCGCATTGTTGAACCCTGAAAAATTAACAGAATAGAATTAATTATAGGCTATAACAGACAGCATTAAATGGCGCAGAACGTAGTTTTGCAAGGGAAAGAACACTACCTGCTCTACACGGTCATGAATCTGAGATATAAAAAAGGTGGTCATAAGATTAAGTTCGCTAAATTAAATAATTCAGGGGGAAAGCCCCAAAAAAAGTGAGCACACATTATTGACCTGATGGGCTGCAGGTATATGATCAGGATATCTTCTATCCAAATCAGTAAGGCCATCCCTCCTGCCAAGATTAGCTGAGTGTTCACCATACATTCTTCTCTCTGATGTGTAATCGGTACCATACTGGTCTAGCTTCTGTGCATATCCACGCACAGCCATATAGTCATCGTTTGGTCTTGCCAAGTTAGACCCTGCAGATCCAGATGAGAACTTGGATGACTGAGATAGTGAAGATGTATGAGGTGGCAGGCTAGGAAGACTAGAAGAATCCGGACCTTTGCCACCAACTCCCCCAACCTGCAAAATGTTTAACCAGATATTCAGTTAAGATATCATGCACAGAACTCATGAAACAGTTGTGCCACTTGAAACTAGAAGGAGGTGAGATCTGACCATGGAAGAAAGTAATCAACATACAATACAGCTGAAACAAAGAGACGAGATGGACACTGAGACAAGGCCTAAAAAGTGCAAACTGAGAAATAGCAAAAGAAAAAGACATGAATGGTTAACAGAAATCTCTTCCTGGTGTCCGCTCTTCATGGTACGAACTACTGGTAAAGTGACTTAACGCGTTAAATCTGATAAAATGCACAAAATTACAAATATTATGTGAAGGCAAGTATATATAAGTTTATATTAAATGACGCACGAGATAAATTCAGCCCAGGAACAGCTTCTTAACCTAAAAGAGTATGTTTATGTTAATTTTTCCCCAAATCATTTGATTCCTTGATATACAGATAAGCTATGTGATACTACGTGACTACCAACTACAGTGCTAGTGGACTAGCCAGCAAATTATTCCAGCACTTGATCTGTTCGCTGCTTCGAGGTACTGCTATGACACCAAGCCAGTTAACATAGCCAACTCACATAAATATGCACTCCTTATCTAAAAGAGGACCCAATTTGTTAAATTCTGAAATATGCACTCTAGCATTGCTTGTTTCAAAAATATCGAATATGACATGCCTGGTGCAAGCTCGGTTGTTTTGATGGTGCATCGTCATAAATGCAATGATAATTGGTCAAACCATATTCTACTCTATCCTGCCATTAATCAGTATGGTAGGGGCATTCACATAAATGAAATGATAATTGGTGGGATCTATTATATTTTGCCATATTCTTATTTGGAGACAAGAAAAACTTGCAAAATGAAACAGACATCAAATCACCTGGTAATTACGCGGCACAAAGAATGAAACAGCAACAACACAATGCTGACCTTGGGATTATGTAGCTGTAGATAAGTGCTACAGAATCAATCCATTGTTTCCTATCTGTGGTGGAAAATCAGAAATATATCTAGTTTGCAAAAACCCTCAGAAGTCTCTAACACCACTAAACAGTCCGGGCATGATCTGACAGACCTATGCAGGGGAGGGGCAAGGTGGAGGAGATGGCTTGAGGGCAACCTTTACTTGCGATCCTTCAGATTCTTGCAGTTTTAAGCTGAAGCTTAAACCTCACTATCAGGATATATATAGAAAGATGCATACCGCATACATAACTAGTATGTTTTGGACATTGAGTAATCTATAGAATGGCATCTTTCAGAGCAATATTCTAGTGTGGACTAATAGATTATGACGGGTGATAACATCAGCCACTCAAAAGGGGCATATGAGCTAGATGCTGCATCATTGCTACTTATCTTTAAAATCTGTAGATATCTGGTTCTTATTTTGTACGATTATCCCACAGGGCCATTATCAATTCCTAGGTTTTTTGGACTAACAGAATCAGTGACCTTTTAAACATTCCAAAACAATTTAGGCACAATGCCGGGATGACATGATACTAATTGCTCTTCATGTGGATAAAGGAAAGGATAAACAAACAAAAAAATCAGGCCCAGGAGGACACCTTAGTTTTACTTGGGTTCAGACAGCAAAATTTTAGATAATTTTATTTTAGCTAGAACCAATAATCCTGGCCAGCCTCTTCAGCACTGGCCAAACCTAGTGCTTTCTTTTATCTCAGATGTCCATGTGGATACATCAGATTTATGAGAGCATGAAGCTGCGCAGTTCTACTAACCATTTGCACTCCAAAGGCATCGAACTGGCAGCTAATAACCTTCATTATTTGCCTTTGCTATAAAGATTCCCCCTAACAACAACTCACAGAGCAACTTAAACAGTAACAGTAGTGAGCATGGATGGCATTAGGAGGGTAACAAATTGCACAGCGAAACCAATTCTGAAAAATGTTCACGAACTGCGGTTAGTTAACCACCTGCTGTGTGCCATACACCGACGCGTAAGGCCCTCCATACTGCCCAGCAGCACCCTGTCCGGCGCGGGCACCTGCCGCAGCTGAGGCCCCAAATCCACTGCTACCAGGCTGCACGCAAAAGTAGGGCAAAAGAGCGCAGGTTTTTGCGCACATAAAAGATGAGAACCTGCCACACATCTGGATATAACAACTAAGCAGATAACAGATCAGCGCGTTTTTGAGAGACATACGATTTGGCCGCCGTAAGATTGCTGCCCGCCGTATGGTGGCTGCTGCCCGTAGGGATTGGGACCTTTGGGCGGAAACATGGCGGACGAGCCCGCCCAGGGGATACTGCGCGCGGGGTCGCGGGAACCAACGGGAATCTCGCGAACACCAGCCCCTGCGAGACAAACCCTAGACATCACACCATGAACAGGGCGCAAACTAGAACCAATCCGGCCGAGACATGGATGCGAGCTGGAGATGAGTGGAATCACAAGATTTGTGCGAGGGCCTAGGGCTTACCTCTGGAGCTGGAGGAGGACGCAGCGCTGGAGGGGGCGAGCTCCCGCTCGGAGAATTTCTGGAGTGGGAGAGCTCGGTGGGCTCCGGTGGAAGAGGGGCGAGGGTTTGGCGGCGGCGAGGTGGGACTCCGTAGGAGGGACGCGGCTCGGCTTGGCTAGCCTATTTATCAAGGAAGGTCGGACTGAACGAGAAGTGCGTTCATTTCGGGGACTCGTCGTGGGCCTTCTGGCCATAGGGTTCCAAAAAAAATCAGGTATCCGCTAGAAAAAATACATTTTGTTCTAAAAAAATAGAAAAAATACATTGTTTTCTTTTGCGGAGAAAAAATACATTCATTTAATATTTTAAAATTGCTTCAAACAAATTAATATTTTAAATGAAAATATTCGGTTAATAATAGTGTGAAACATTTCCATAGACATGGATACAACAAGGAAAACGTTTAAAAAAGTACGATGATTTCTTGGCTTCATCAGCCGTGTCTGTCGCTGTTTGATCAATGTGGCATGAAGCATCGCTCTGTTCCCACGTGAAGTTAACCCACCTATTTGACTATGTGGTCATGGTAGCATCTAGTCGCGCGCTTGGATATGATTGAACCCCGCGACTGTTTAGCGGTTCCATTTTGCTTCTACTTCACGCATGATGTTTATTGCTTAGCCACGTAGCTACACATGTATGTGATGTTACAAATAATCTCAAGCGGAAGCACATAGCAAGCACAAATTGAGAATTCCATAACACCATACTCTTGACGTTGATTGTTAGTGTTTGTTGGATTTTGTGCTAGCAAGCTAATGGAGTCGCGGTTGCTTGGATCCCTCCTCCCAAATGGTTGCTTTGATATAGCAATGCTTAGAGTAGTGTCCTTTACATTGTCGCAGCCGTCGTCGAAGCATATATACCACTGCAGCAGCATCGGAGTAGTCAGGTTGTCGTCATAGCATCGTCGAACCATCTGTGCCATCGTCGCAACATTGCCATGGCCTAAGCACGCCGGCGCAACATCTTCGAAGTGGTCGGGCCTTCATCGGAGCATCACTGCTGTCGTCGAAGCACGATGTCGCTGCATGGTCGTGACCGTTCGAAGCACGCCACCGTCGCAACATCATTGAGGCGGACAGGTTGTCGTCGTAGCATCGCAACCATCAAAGCACACCACAGCCATCAAAGCATGTTGTCGCAACATCATCGAAGCGGTCGGGCTACTATCGCAGCATCATTGTGGCCGCCTAAAAGGAACAGTATGGTCTAATGAAGGGGTGAATAGGCGATTAACAATTATTAACTTCCCTTCCAAATACAGGTTCAATAAGAAAATAGGTTGTTTAGATATGCAACTAGGTGGATAACCTATATGGCAAGCTCACTAAAAAGTACAATGATTAATATAAGCAACACAATATAAGCTTGCGCAAAGTAAGACAAGGATAGAAGTAACCGCAAGTGGAAACGAGAATGTGTTTCCGAAGTTTTCTTCTTTGGGGGAGGTATGTCTCCATTGGATGTGCAGGCATGATGCACCCCAAACATCACAATGTCTCACCCTATTCTTCTCACGCCCTTGCACGATGCAAGGTGTCGTGACTAGCAGTGCCCTTTAAGGCGGCAACCAAAACATTTGCAAACAAGGTTGGGGTAATATCCACAACTTAGCTGAAGGCTCCTGTCGGTGTCAAAACCGGCGGATCTCGGGTAGGGGGTCCCAAACTGGTGCGCCTAAGGCGGATGGTAACAAGAGGCAGGGGACACGATGTTTTACCCAGGTTCGGGCCCTCTTGATGGAGGTAAAACCCTACGTCCTGCTTGATTATTCTTGATGATATGAGTAGTACAAGAGTTGATCTACCACGAGATCGGAGAGGCTAAACCCTAGAAGCTAGCCTATGGTATGATTGTCTGTTGTCCTATGGACAAAAACCCTCCGGTTTATATAGACACAGGAGGGGGCTAGGGTTACACAAGATCGGTTACAAAAGAGGAGATATACATATCCGTATTGCCTAGCTTGCCTTCCACGCCAAGTAGAGTCCCATCCAGACACGGGACGAAATCTTCAATCTTGTGTCTTCATAGTCCAACAGTCCGGCCAAAGGATATAGTCCGGCTGTCCGGAGACCCCCTAATCCAGGACTCCCTCAGTAGCCCCTGAACCAGACTTCAATGACGATGAGTCCGGCGTGTAGTGTTATCTTCGGCATTGCAAGGCGGGTTCCTCCTTCGAATACACCATAGAAGAGTTTGAATACAAGGATAGTGTCCGACCCTGCAAAATAAGTTTCTGTTGGAAATATGCCCTAGAGGCAATAATAAATTGGCTATTATTATATTTCCTTGTTCATGATAATCGTTTATTATCCATGCTAGAATTGTATTGATAGGAAACTCAGATACATGTGTGGATACATAAACAACACCATGTCCCTAGTAAGCCTCTAGTTGACTGGCTCGTTGATCAATAGATGGTTACGGTTTCCTGACCATGGACATTGGATGTCGTTGATAACGGGATCACATCATTAGGAGAATGATGTGATGGACAAGACCCAATCCTAAGCCTAGCACAAGATCGTGTAGTTCATTTGCTAAAGCTTTTCTAATGTCAAGTATCATTTCCTTAGACCATGAGATTGTGCAACTCCCGGATACTGTAGGAGTGCTTTGGGTGTGCCAAACGTCACAACGTAACTAGGTGGCTATAAAGGTACACTACAGGTATCTCCGAAAGTGTCTGTTGGGTTGGCACGAATCGAGACTGGGATTTGTCACTCCGTGTAAACGGAGAGGTATCTCTGGGCCCACTCGGTAGGACATCATCATAATGTGCACAATGTGATCAAGGAGTTAATCACGGGATGATGTGTTACAGAACGAGTAAAGAGACTTGCCGGTAACGAGATTGAACAAGGTATCGGGATACCGACGATCGAATCTCGGGCAAGTATCGTACCGATAGACAAAGGGAATTGTATACGGGATTGATTGAATCCACGACATCGTGGTTCATCCGATGAGATCATCGTGGAACATGTGGGAGCCAACATGGGTATCCAGATCCCTTTGTTGGTTATTGACCGGAGAGTTATCTCGGTCATGTCTGCATGGTTCCCGAACCCGTAGGGTCTACACACTTAAGGTTCGATGACGCTAAGGTTATAGGGAATAGATATATGTGGTTACCGAATGTTGTTCGGAGTCCCGGATGAGATCCAGGACGTCACGAGGAGTTCCGGAATGGTCCGAAGGTAAAGATTTATATATGGGAAGTCCTGTTTTGGTCGCCGGAAAAGTTTCGGGTTTATCGATAATGTACCGGGACCACCGGGAGGGTCCCGGTGGTCCACCAAGTGGGGCCACCAGCCCCGGAGGGCTGCATGGGCCAAGTGTGGGAGGGGACCAGCCCCTGGTGGGCTGGTGCGCCCCCCCCACCAAGGCCCAAGGTGCAAGGGAGAGTGGAAGGGGGCAAACCCTAGGCTCAAATGGGCCTAAGGCCCACCTAGTGGTGCGCCCCCCTCTCTCCCCCCTTGGCCGCCCCCCTAGATGGGATCTAGGGCTGGCCGCCACCCCTAGGGGTGGAAACCTAGGTGGGGGCGTAGCCCCTCCCCTCCCCCTATATATACTTGAGGTTTTGGGCTGCCATAGACACGATTCAATCTCCTTCTTGGCGCAGCCCTACCCCTCTCCCTCCTCGTCTCTTGTGGTGCTTGGCGAAGCCCTGCTGGAGTACCACGCTCCTCCACCACCACCACGCCGTCATGCTGCTGCTGGATGGAGTCTTCCCAACCTCTCCTTCTCCCCTTGCTGGATCAAGGCGTAGGACACGTCACCGGGCTGTACGTGTGTTGAACACGGAGGTACCGTCCGTTCGGCACTAGGATCATCGGTGATTTGGATCACGACGAGTATGACTCCATCAACCCCGTTCACTTGAACGCTTCCGCTTAGCGATCTACAAGGGTATGTAGATGCACTCTCCTTCCCTCGTTGCTAGATTACTCCATAGATTGATCTTGGTGATGCGTAGAAAATTTTGAATTTCTGCTACGTTCCCCAACAGTGGCATCATGAGCTAGGTCTATGCGTAGTTACTATGCACGAGTAGAACACAAAGTAGTTGTGGGCGTCGATATTGTCAATTATCTTGCGGTTACTAGTCTTATCTTGATTCGGCGGCATCGTGGGATGAAGCGGCCCGGACCAACCTTACACGTACGCTTACGTGAGACCGGTTCCACCGACTGACATGCACTAGTTGCATAAGGTGGCTGGCGGATGTCTGTCTCTCCCACTTTAGTCGGATTGGATTCGATGAACAGGGTCCTTATGAAGGGTAAATAGAAATTGGCAATTCACGTTGTGGTTTTGGCGTAGGTAAGAAACGTTCTTGCTAGCAACCTATAGCAGCCACGTAAAAACTTGCAACAACAATTAGAGGACGTCTAACTTGTTTTTGCAGCAAGTGTTTTGTGATGTGATATGGCCAAAGGATGTGATGAATGATATATATGTGATGTATGAGATCATGTTCTTGTAATAGGAATCACGACTTGCATGTCGATGAGTATGACAACCGGCAGGAGCCATAGGAGTTGTCTTTATTTTTTGTATGACCTGCGTGTCATTGAGAAACGCCATGTAAATTACTTTACATTATTGCTAAACGTGTTAGCCATAGTAGTAGAAGTAATAGTTGGCGAGCAACTCCATGGAGACACGATGATGGAGATCATGGTGTCATGCCGGTGACAAGATGATCGTGGAGCCCCAAGATGGAGATCAAAGGAGCTATATGATATTGGCCATATCATGTCACTATTATTTGATTGCATGTGATGTTTATCATGTTTTTGCATCTTGTTTACTTAGAACGACGGTAGTAAATAAGATGATCCCTCATAATAATTTCAAGAAAGTGTTCCCCCTAACTGTGCATCGTTGTGACAGTTCGTTGTTTTGAAGCACCACATGATGATCGGGTGTGATAGATTCCAACGTTCACATACAACGGGTGTAAGACAGATTTACACATGCAAACACTTAGGTTGACTTGACGAGCCTAGCATGTACAGACTGTTGGAAATATGCCCTAGAGGCAATAATAAAAGTATTATTATTATATTTCTTTGTTCATGATAATTGTCTTTATTCATGCTATAACTGTATTAACCGGAAATCGTAATACACGTGTGAATACATAGACCATAATATGTCCCTAGTAAGCCTCTAGTTGACTAAGCTCGTTGATCAACAGATAGTCATGGTTTCCTGGCTATGGACATTGGATGTCATTGATAACGGGATCACATCATTAGGAGAATGATGTGATGGACAAGACCCAATCCTAAGCATAGCGCAAGATCGTGTAGTTCGTTTGCTAGAGCCTTTCCAATGTCAAGTATCTTTTCCTTTGACCATGAGATCGTGTAACTCCCGGATACCGTAGGAGTGCTTTGGGTGTACCAAACGTCATAACGTAACTGGGTGACTATAAAGGTGCACTACAGGTATCTCTGAAAGTGTCTGTTGGGTTGACACGGATCGAGACTGGGATTTGTCACTCCGTACGACGGAGAGGTATCACTGGGCCCACTCGGTAATGCATCATCATAATGAGCTCAAAGTGACCAAGTGTCTGGTCACGGGATCATGCATTACGGTACGAGTAAAGTGACTTGCCGATAACGAGATTGAACGAGGTATTGGGATACCGACGATCGAATCTCGGGCAAGTAACATACCGATTGACAAAGGGAATTGCATACGGGGTTGCTTGAATCCTCGACATCGTGGTTCATCCGATGAGATCATCGTGGAGTGTGTGGGAGCCAACATGGGTATCCAGATCCCGCTGTTGGTTATTGACCGGAGAGTCGTCTCGGTCATGTCTACATATCTCCCGAACCCGTAGGGTCTACACACTTAAGGTTCGGTGACGCTAGGGTTGTAGGGATATGTATATGCAGTAAC